CCACTCTTCTACTCCCAAATGATATTTGATTCTTGATACTTGATGGAGTAATCCCTTTAGCAGCTCGCTCAGGAAGCTACAGTATACTGGGATGTTACATGTAGGTGGGGCATGATTTCTGATGTTTCTTAATTTGGGGGTTATCTTATCTGAGCTAAAGCACTATTAAATGATGAGAGAAATTATAGCTCCTGTTTTATATCCATTGATCATTGTATTGTAATATTGATATACAGTATCATTGTTTTTATGCCTCCGCCACCGAAGGTGGTGCCGGAGGCATCATGTTTTCGGGTTGTCCGTCCGTACATCCGTCCCGTTTGACCGTTATCACAATATCTCAAGAACCATTTAAGATTTAAACTTAAGACTCGGGAATAGTATTTGTCACCATAGGAAGACGATCTGATTAGATTTTGGAGTACGTAGGTCAAAGGTCACAGGTCACAGAGGTCAACTTATGAAATTCCTTGTATTGAGTTTGTTAGCGCGATATCTCAAGAACCATTTGAGATTTAAACTTCAAACTTAAGGATAGTATGTATCACCATAGGAAGACGATCTGATTAGATTTTGGAGCACGTATGTCAAAGGTCAAGGGTCACAGAGGTCAACTTATGAAATTCCATACATTGAGATTGTTATCATGATATCTCAAGAACCACTGGAGATTTAAACTCCAAACTTGTTTAAATTGCTCTATGGCGGAGGCATCATTTTCGACTGCGCGCAGTCAAAATTCCATCTAGTTTTTCTCTGTTGTCAGACTTGAGACTTTTACTGAGCTGTCAAGCCCTACACTTTTTGAACATGTAATGACTGACATTATGCCTCCGTCGCACTGCCAGACCATCACCAAACCCGACTAAAAACGATAAGTTCTTGGCCATTTGTCATCATGTAATCTTTGTTTGGTCTGTTGTTCGTCTTGTTGGTGTGACCGAGGTGTAACCTCAAAATGATTCAATTCAATTCAATGCTTTATTTTATTACCTATAAATCATACATATAAATTTGTTTCTTTCTTTTTTTAAATATTATTAACATGTGTAGAACAGGTTTTAAACTAGATGGAATTTTGACTGCGTGCAGTCGAAAATGATGCCTCCGCCATAGAGCAATTTAAACTAGAGAGTTACTTGACCTATTGTGACCTAAGGTCAAGCCGAAAATTGAGAAATTTGTCATTTTGTGTACAAAATGAATGGCAAAGTGAAGTTTCTAGTTTGGTCTATAAATCAGCATAATTTTACTCTTTAGAGTTTAGTTATCATTTATTCAAGCAAAATATTGATACGTAACAACCTCAAGTATCAGAAGTCCTAAAACAATACACTACATAAGATTAAGAATTAATAACAATAGAATACAAAAGAAGTTCATAAAACAATGAAATACATAAGAATTGAAATAGACATGGACAATTTTTTTATGTGATAATGCCTGATAGGCTTTTTAGAAACTTTTTGCCACAAAATCAACTCTGTAAAAGCTTTATTTATGTAATTGTTAATAAAAATCATTATTCATGAATTTGATTTGCATAAATTAGCATAATTGATAAAATAAGTAATTTTCAGCAAAATTATAGTGAGGTCTCTTCCTTTATGCAATTGCATAAATTAGCATAATTGATAAAATAAGTAATTTTCAGCAAAATAATAGTGAGGTCTCTTCCTTTGCGCAATTTCTCAAGACGCGTGCCAAATTTCGAGGCAATCGGCCCCTCCCCCCCCCCCCCCAGTCAGGGAGGTGCTCAAAATAGCCCAGTTAAGTACGGGTTAAGTAACGGAACATATTTCAAGTGGTTCTTGACATATCATGACAAGTCCTATACATGTAGTCTGAATTTTTCAAGTTGACCTTTATGACCTTTGACATACATGTACTCCAAAATCTAATCTGATCGTTTTCCTATGGTGATATATATACTATCCTTAAGTTTGAAGTTTAAAATCTCAAATGGTTCTTGAGATATCGCGATAACGAGCTGAAGACATGGAATTTCACAAGTTGACCTCTGTGACCCTTGACCTACGTGCTCCAAAATCTAAACAGATCGTCTTCCTATGGTGATACATACTATCATTAAGTTTGAAGTGAAAATTCTCCAGTGGTTCTTGAGATATGGCGATAACGATCTCAATGTATGGAATTTCATAAGTTGACCTCTGTGACCCTTGACCTTTGACCTACGTGCTCCAAAATCTAATCAGATTGTCTTCCTATGGTGATACACACTATCATTAAGTTTGAAGTTTAAATTTAAAATTTAAATTTTTTTTTAAATTTCCTACAAGAAATACTTACCCGAGACTTCTGGAATACTGTACTATTTAGCCTTTGAAAAATACATATTGAAAAATGCTGAAAATAAAGAGATCCAAGAAGGGATGAGAAGCAATAGATGTGTGTTGACAAATTTAATGTTCTATTTATGATTATGATAATGATTCATGAATTTTGAGCTATTAAAACACTTTTTCTTTGTCTAAACTTTCATTATTTCTCTTTAAAATTTCAGTGATTGTTTATATATTCTAAAAATAGGAATACACAGTAAACAATGCAACTTGGTTTTTAGATCTCCGTAGGGGCAACAAAACGTTGCCGATAGTTATTGTTTTTAGAGCTCCGTACGGGCAACAAAACCCTGCCGATTATTATTGTTTTTAGAGCTCCGTAGGGGCAACTACCTTGCCGATTGTTATTGTTTTTAGATCTCCGTAGGGGCAACAAAACCTTGCCGGTAATAATTATTTTCAGATCTCCATAGGGGCAACGAAACCTTGCCAAAAATTATTGTTTTTAGATCTCTGTAGGGCCAACAAAACCTTGCCGATAATTATTGTTTTTAGATCTCCGTAGGGGCAACAAAACCTTGCCGATAATTATTGTTTTTAGAGCTCCGTAGGGGCAACTACCTTGCTGATTGTTATTGTTTTTAGATCTCCGTAGGGGCAACAAAACCTTGCCGGTAATAATTATTTTCAGATCTCCGTAGGGGCAACAAAACCTTGCCGATAATTATTGTTTTTAGATCTCCGTAGGGGCAACAAAACCCTGCCGATAATTATTGTTTTTAGATCTCCGTAGGGGCAACAAAACCTTGCCGATAATTATTGTTTTTAGATCTCAGTAGGGGCAACAAAGTCTTGCCGATAATTATTGTTTTTAGATCTCCGTAGAGGCAACAAAGTCTTGTCGATAATTTTTGTTTTTAGATATCAGTAGGGGCAACAAAGTCTTGCCGATAATTATTGTTTTTAGATCTCCGTAGAGGCAACAAAGTCTTGTCGATAATTATTGTTTTTAGATCTTCGTAGGGGCAACAAAACCTTGCCGGTAATAATTATTTTCAGATCTCCATTGGGGCAACAAAACCTTGCCAATAATTATTGTTTTTAGATCTCCGTAGGGCCAACAAAACCTTGCCGATAATTATTGTTTTTAGATCTCCGTAGGGGCAACAAAACCTTGCCGATAATTATTGTTTTTAGAGCTCCGTAGGGGCAACTACCTTGCCGATTGTTATTGTTTTTAGATCTCCGTAGGGGCAACAAAACCTTGCCGGTAATAATTATTTTCAGATCTCCGTAGGGGCAACAAAATCTTGCCGATAATTATTATTTTTAGATCTCCGTAGGGGCAACAAAACCCTGCCGATAATTATTGTTTTTAGATCTCCGTAGAGGCAACAAAGTCTTGTCGATAATTATTGTTTTTAGATCTCAGTAGGGGCAACAAAGTCTTGCCGATAATTATTGTTTTTAGACCTCCGTAGAGGCAACAAAGTCTTGTCGATTATTATTGTTTTTAGATCTCAGCAGGGGCAACAAAGTCTTGCCGATAATTATTGTTTTTAGATCTCAGTAGGGGCAACAAAGTCTTGCCGATAATTATTGTTTTTAGATCTCCGTAGAGGCAACAAAGTCTTGTCGATAATTATTGTTTTTAGACCTCCGTAGAGGCAACAAAGTCTTGTCGATTATTATTGTTTTTAGATCTCAGCAGGGGCAACAAAGTCTTGCCGATAATTATTGTTTTTAGATCTCAGTAGGGGCAACAAAGTCTTGCCGATAATTATTGTTTTTAGATCTCCGTAGAGGCAACAAAGTCTTGTCGATAATTATTGTTTTTAGATCTTCGTAGGGGCAACAAAACCTTGCCGGTAATAATTATTTTCAGATCTCCATAGGGGCAACAAAACCTTGCCAATAATTATTGTTTTTAGATCTCCGTAGGGCCAACAAAACCTTGCCGATAATTATTGTTTTTAGATCTCCGTAGGGGCAACAAAACCTTGCCGATAATGATTGTTTTTAGAGCTCCGTAGGGGCAACTACCTTGCCGATTGTTATTGTTTTTAGATCTCCGTAGGGGCAACAAAACCTTGCCGGTAATAATTATTTTCAGATCTCCGTAGGGGCAACAAAACCTTGTCGATAATTATTGTTTTTAGATCTCAGTAGGGGCAACAAAGTCTTCCCGATAATTATTGTTTTTAGATCTCCGTAGAGGCAACAAAGTCTTGTCGATAATTATTGTTTTTAGATCTCAGTAGGGGCAACAAAGTCTTGCCGATAATTATTGTTTTTAGATCTCCATAGAGGCAACAAAGTCTTGTCGATAATTATTGTTTTTAGATCTCAGTAGGGGCAACAAAGTCTTTTTGAACATTACAAGTCGGGGTTGACTTATGATGACTATAATGTTGGCAAAACTTGTGTGGATCAAAATATTGTGGCCTTAAACGGTTTGATTTTGAAAAGGGCATTCCGGCCAGTGAGAGGGGCATGGCAGCAAATTGCCAATTGCCGGTGGGTAATTCGAGCCCTGAGGTAATACCTGTAACATGCATTCATAAATTGTGAGTTTAGGTCCTCTTGTACAACTGCTCTTATTTGGAGCGATAATTGAATAGAAGATGTGTATTTAAAATTTTGTATAAACTTTGTAACTCCATCTGAAATTGTCAATTTTTCTCCAACCCCTTACAG